GGGGGCGGGGCTTGTGCTTGCAGAGCAGGATAGGGGGCGGGACTTGTGCTTGCAGATCAGAATAGGGGTGGGGCTTGTCCTTGCACACCAGGGTGGGGGCGGGGCTTGTCCTTGCATAGCTGCAGGGCAGGGGGCGGAGCTTCTTCCTACAGGCAGGGGCGGGGCTTGTCCTTACAGAACAGGGTGGGGGGTGGGACTTGTCCTGGCTGGGCGTGGCTGGGGGCGGGGCTTGCCCTTGCAGACCAGGGCAGGGGGCGTGGCTTGTCTTTGCAGAGCAGGGTTGGGGGCATGGCCTGTCCTGGCTGGGTGTGGCGGGGGCGTGGCTTGCCCTTGCAGACCAGGACTGGGGGCGTGGCCTGTCCTGGCTGGGCGTGGCGGGGGCGTGGCTTGCCCTTGAAATGCAGGGCAGGGCGTGGCCTGTCCTGGCTGGGCGTGGCAGGGCGTAGCTTGTCCTGGCTGGGCGTGGCGGGGACGGGGCTTGCCCTTGCAGACCAGGGCTGGGGGCGTGGCCTGTCCTGGCTGGGCGTGGCCGGGGCGTGGCCTGTCCTGGCTGGGCGTGGCGGGGGCGTGGCCTGTCCCCGCGCGGTGGGGCCGGGCAGCGCAGGGCCGGGCGTGTCCCCGAGCTCAGGCCGCGGCCCAGCGAGCCCGTCCCCCCGCAGAGTGGCGCCAGGGCCGCATGGCGCGCATCATCCTGCAGGACGAGGACGTCACCACGAAAATCGACAACGACTGGAAGAGGCTGAACACGCTGGCGCACTACCAGGTGACCCTCGGCCGCGCTGTCCCCGGGTCCCCACAGCGGGAAACGGGAGGGGAGGGGACGGGGACATGCGGGGCTCGCGGGGTCTCCCCCATAACCCTGGAGCTCGCCGGGCGCGGAGGCTCACGCCTGTCATCCCGGCACTCTGGGAGGCCGAGGCGGGAGGCTCACTCGAGGCCAGGAGGTGGAGGCCAGCCTGAGCAAGAGCGAGACCCCGTCTCTACTAAAAACAAAAAATAGAAAGAAATGAGCTGGACAACTAAAAATATATAGAAAAAAAAAATTTAGCCGGGCGTAGAGGCGCATGCCTGGAGTCCCAGCTACTAGGGAGGGAGGCTGAGGCGGGAGGCTCGGTTGAGGCCAGGAGTCGGAGGCTGCCGTGAGCGAGGCTGACGCCACGGCACTCACTCCAGCCCGGGCGACAGGGCGAGACTCTGTCTCAAAAATAAAAAAAAAAAAGAAATCCCCGGAGCTGCTGGGATGGGGAAACTGAGGCCCGGAATGGTGCCGCGACCGATTTTCACGCACAGCGCCAGAGTGTCGCCTGGGTGTCACGATGACATTCAGGCGGGTCACGGGGTCCCCGGCCTCTGCCCCTGCAGGTGACGGACGGGTCCTCGGTGGCCCTGGTGCCCAAGCAGACGTCGGCCTACAATATCTCGAACTCGTCCACCTTCACCAAGTCGCTGAGCAGATACGGTGAGGGGCAGGGACGCCGGGGCGGGGTGGGACTCGGGGGGCGGCGGGGACCGATGTCGCTCCCCCTTCCCCCAAAAAAAAACCCAGCGCCCGGGCGGGAGGCTCACGCGCTGTCATCCCCCCACGCGACTCTGGGGCCGAGGCGGGAGGATGGCTGAGGCAGGAGTTGGAGGGCCAGCCTGAGCACGAGCGAGACCCCGTCTCCTACTAAAAAAATAGAAACAAATTAATTGGCCAACTAATATATTCACTAAAATTCGAGCCGGGCATGGTGGCGCAGGTGCCTGTTAGTCCCAAGCTACTGGGGGCTGAGGCAGGAGGATCGCTTGAGCCCAAGGAGTCGGGAGGCTGCTGTGAGCTAGCTCGACGCACGCACTCACTGTAGCTGGGAACAAGTGAGACTCACCTGTCTCAAAAAAAAAAAAAAATTAGCAGAAAAAATGAGCAGGCGTGGTGGTGCATGCCTGTTGTTGCAGCTCCTTATACCAAGGGGCCCGAGGCGGGACGGAGATCACTCGAGACCTAAAGTCGGAGGCTGCCGTGGCGAGGCTGATGCCTGGGCGACGACAGAGCGAGACTCTGTCTCAAAACAAATAAAAATAATAATACCAGGCCCGGGCGCGGTGGCTCACGCTGTCATCCCCAGCCTAAAACATAAGAGGAGAGACCCCCCCCCACCCCCTGAGGCGGAGGATCGGCTCGAGGATCAGGCAGTTAACGCAGCCTTGAGCAAGAAGCGAGACCCCGTCTCTACTAAAAATAGAAAGAAATTAATTGGCCCACTAATATATATACCGAAAAACTTAGCCAGGCACGGTGCGCCATGCTCTCCATCCCAGCTACCCGGAGGGAGGCCTGAGGCCAGGAGCATCGCTGGAGGCCCGGAGTCGGCAGGCTGTTGTGAGCGGGCTGACGCCACGGCACTCACTGCTCAGCCGGTGCCACAGAGTGGACTGCTGCCTCAAAAAATAAAAAAATCAAAGAACCGCCAAGCGGCCGGGCCGCGGCGGGGGTTTCAGGTGGGGAAACGAGGCAGGCCCCGGGCGGAGCTGACAGGCGGCGCGGGCGTTCGCCAGCCGGGGGCAGAGACACTGCTGCCACAGCCAGCAGCCCGGACAGCCTGCGCTCCCGCACGCCCATGATCACGCCGGATCTGGAGAGCGGCACGAAGCTCTGGCACCTGGTGAAGAACCACGACCACCTGGACCAGCGGGAGGGCGACCGCGGCAGCAAGATGGTGTCTGAGATCTACCTGACGCGGCTGCTGGCCACCAAGGTGTGCGCTCGGTGGTGGGGGTCACAGGGTCAGGGGTCGGGGGTCACGGGTCAGGGGTCGCGGGTCAGGGGTCGGGGGTCGCGGAGGAGGGAGGGCGGCCTCACGAGGCCTCGGCCGCCTCCTTGGCGCACGGCGGCTGCAGTTGCACCTGCCATCACGCCCGCGTCCCATCCGTCCAGCGACGGTTTCCCCCTCAGGGCCTGTCCGGTGACCTTTGTCCCCGGCCCAGGTTCCCTCTCGACCCCTGACCCCCCCGCCCCCCACGGCCGCAGGGCACGCTGCAGAAGTTCGTGGACGACCTCTTCGAGACCATCTTCAGCACGGCGCACCGCGGCTCGGCCCTGCCCCTGGCCATCAAGTACATGTTCGACTTCCTGGACGAGCAGGCCGACAAGCACCAGATCCACGACGCGGACGTGAGGCACACCTGGAAGAGCAACTGGTACCCCCCGCGGGGACCCCGGGGCCGGGGGGGGGTGCCGGCTCGGCCGGCCTTGGGGGGCTGCGGGGTGGGTGGGTGTCGGCCGGCTACTTCCCTGAGCGACCTCCCCCCTCCCACACCCGGGGTCGGGGAGGGAGAGAGAGGGGCAGCAGCCTCCTTGGCGCGTGGTGGCTGCGGGGGCGCCGGCCATCGCGTTTGCGTCCCGTCTCTCAGGCAATGCTCCCGGGCCTGGCAGGGTGGCGGGAGATCCTCCGCCTCTGGTTCCTGTCCTGTGGCTGGGCCTCCGTCTTCATCCACTGTGGAGGCCAGAGTCAGGAGGGTGGTGAGGCCGCCAGCCAGCCCCATTTGGGGCGCTGGCTCTCGCGCCTGCGTTTCGTGGCGGCCTCGTGGCGCATTCGGGGCTGCCGGGGTGCCGGCCCTTGCGCCTGTGTTTCATGGCGGCCTCGTGGTGCATTCGGGGCTGCCGGGGCGCCGGCTCTTGCGCCTGTGTTCTATGGCAGCCTCGTGGTGCATTGGGGGCTGCCTGGGCGCCGGCCCTCACGCCTGTGTTCCATGGCGGCCTCGTGGTGCATTAGGGGCTGCCGGGGTGCTGGCCCTCGCGCCTGCGTTTCGTGGCGGCCTCGTGACACATTTGGGGCTGCCAGGGCGCCGGCCCTCGCGCCTGCATTCCATGATGGCCTCGTGGCACATTTGGGTCTCCATGTTCCTCGTGGCGCATGCGGGGCTGCCGGGGTGCCAGCCCTCGCGCCTGCGTTCCATGGCAGCCTCGTGGCACATGTGGGGCTGCCGGGGCACTGGCTCTCGCGCCTATGTTCCATGGCAGCCTTGTGGTGCATTGGGGTTGCCAGGGCGCCGGCTCTTGCTCTTGTGTTCCATGGCGGCCTTGTGGCGCATTCGGGGCTGCCGGGGCGCCGGCCCTCGCGCCTGCGTTCCATGGCAGCCTCGTGGCACATGTGGGGCTGCCGGGGCACTGGCTCTCGCGCCTGTGTTCCATGGCGTCCTCGTGGCGCATTCGGGGCTGCCGGGGCGCCGGCCCTCGCGTCTGTGTTCCCTGGCAGCGGAACTGTACCTGCACAGTTCAGAAGGGAAACCGAGGCCCGGGGTGGGGCGTCCGCCGGGGTGTCAGTGCGGGCTGGTCGTGGTGACAAAGGCGAGAGCCACAGCAGACTCCCCGCTCAGTGCTCCCCGACATGAGGCCTCAGTGGCCTCCTTGGCACTCAGGGGCTGCGTGTGCGCCTGCCGTCGCGCCCGCATCCCACCTGTCAAGCGATGCTCCCAGGCTGCCAGTGTCTGACGGGGCAGGGCAGCCCGGGCCTCTGACCGTGGAGGTCAGAGTCGGGAGGGTGGCGAGGCCGCCGGCCAGCCCTTTTCCCTGCGCCGTTCAGAGGGGAAACCGAGGCGGGCTGGCCGCGGTGACAAAAGCGACAGCAACAGCAGACACACTCCCGTGACCGTATACGCTCTTAGCGGCCTCCTCGGCGCGCGGCGGCTGCGCGCGCGCCCGCCATCGCGTCTGCGTCCCGTCCGTCCACCGACGCTTTCCGCGCCGTTAGAAAGGGAAACCGAGGCCCGGGCCGGCCGGGTCCGGCCCCCGCTGACCGGCCCCGCCCCGCCCCGCAGCCTGCCCCTGCGCTTCTGGGTGAACGTGATCAAGAACCCGCAGTTCGTGTTCGACATCCACAAGAGTAGCATCACGGACGCCTGCCTGTCGGTGGTGGCGCAGACCTTCATGGACTCCTGCTCCACCTCCGAGCACAAGCTGGGCAAGGACTCGCCCTCCAACAAGCTGCTGTACGCCAAGGACATCCCCAACTACAAGAGCTGGGTCGAGAGGTGCGCCGCCTGTCCCCGCCTCTCGTCACCTGTCGTCACCTGTCGTCACCTGTCCGCACCTGTCCACACCTGTCCACACCTGTCATCACCTGTCCCCGCCTGTCGTCACCTGTCCACACCTGTCGTCACCTGTCGTCACCTGTCCACACCTGTCGTCACCTGTCCACACCTGTCGTCACCTGTCCACACCTGTCGTCACCTGTCATCACCTGTTGCCACCTGTCGTCGCCTGTCCTCACCTGTCCCCAGTCGCCACCTGTCGTAACCTGTCACCACTTGTCCCCACCTGTCACCACCTGTCGTAACCTGTCACTGCTTGTCCCCACCTGTCGCCGCCTGTCGTCACCTGTCCTCACCTGTCCCCAGTCGCCACCTGTCGTAACCTGTCACTGCTTGTCCCCACCTGTCACCACCTGTCGTAACCTGTCCCCACCTGTCCCCGCCTGTCACCGCCTGTCATCACCTGTCATCACCTGTCCCCACCTGTCGTCGCCTGTCGTCACCTGTCCCCACCTGTCGCCACCTGTCGTCGCCTGTCCCCACCTGTCGTCACCTGTCATCACCTGTCGTCACCTATCCCCACCTGTCGTCGCTTGTCACCTATCCCCACCTGTCGTCGCTTGTCACCTATCCCCACCTGTCGTCGCTTGTCACCTGTCCCCACCTGTCGCCACCTGTCGTCGCCTGTCGCTGCCTGTTCCCACCTGTCGCCACCTGTCCCCGCCTGTCCCCACCTGTCGTCACCTGTCATCACCTGTCCCCACCTGTCGCCGCCTGTCATCACCTGTCGTCACCTATCCCCACCTGTCGTCGGTTGTTGTCACCTGTCCCCACCTGTCGCCACCTGTCCCCGCCTGTTGCCATCTGTCCCCGCCTGTCGTTGCCTGTCGTCACCTGTTCCCACCTGTTGCCACCTGTTGCCACCTGTCGCCACCTGTCACCTGTCGCCACCTGTCATCACCTGTCACTGCCTGTCCCCTCCTGTCATCGCCTGTTCCCACCTGTCGTCACCTGTCACTGCCTGTCACCTGTCCCCGCCTGTCACCATCTGTCCACAACTGTCCCCACCTGTCGCCACCTGTCCCCGCCTGTCGCCACCTGTCCCCACCTGTCGTCGCCTGTCATCACTTGACCCCACCTGTCCCCGCCTGTCACTACCTGTCGTCACCTGTCGCCACCTGTTCCGACCTGTCGCCGCCTGTTCCCGCCTGTCGCCACCTGTCCACAACTGTCATCACCTGTCGTCGCCTGTCACCACCTGTTGTCACCTGTCGCCGCCTGTCATCACCTGTAGTCACCTGTCCCACCTGTCCCCACCTGTCTCCACCTGTCCCACCTGTCCCCGCCTATCCCCGCCTGTCTCCACCTGTCCCCGCCTATCCCCGCCTGTCTCCACCTGTCTCCACCTGTCACCTGTCGTCCCCGCCAGGTACTACGCCGACATCGCCAAGATGCCGGCCATCAGCGACCAGGACATGAGCGCGTACCTGGCCGAGCAGTCGCGCCTGCACCTGAGCCAGTTCAACAGCATGAGCGCGCTGCACGAGATCTACTCCTACATCACCAAGTACAAGGACGAGGTGGGTGGCGCGCGCGACCCCACGTGGGGGTGGGGAACGGGGGGACGGTGACATCTGGGCGGCGGGGCGGCGGCCCGCCCATTTTCAGGCTTCCGTTCGGGCCTCGTGGCGCATGCGGGGCTGCTGGGGCGCCGGCCCTCACGCCTGTGTCCCATGGCAGTGGCCTCGTGGCGCACTGAAGCCTGCCGGGGTGCCGGCTCTTGCGCCTGTGTCCCACGGCAGTGGCCTTGTGGCACATGCAAGGCTGCCGGGGCGCCGGCCCTCGCGCCTGTGTCCCATGGCGGCAGCCTCGTGGCGCATTCAGGGCTGCCAGAGCGCTGGCTTTTTTGCCTGTGTTCCATGGCAGCAGCCTCATGGCGCATGCAAGGCTGCCGGGGCGCCGGCCCTCGCGCCTGTGTCCCATGGCGGCAACGGCCTCCGTTCGTCGACGGGGGGAGACTGGGAGGCTGTCCCCGAGGCCAGGGCAAAGCGCGGGGGGACACTGAGGCTCGCCGAGCCCCGGGGGGACAGTGGACGTGGGGGCGGGTACCGCAAAGTGGGAGGGGAACGGACTCCAGGGTTGAGGCCGGGCCTCGGCCTCCATCTCAGGTCCGGGTTCGAGGCCAAGCGCGGGAGAGTCCGGGGACCAAACCCGGAAGTCCTGGGGCCTCGCCCTGAACAGTTAAGAAGAGAGTGGAGGCCGCGTGGGGAGGCCGGGGCCGTGGTGTGCGGGGCCCGCCGCGGTGGTTGGGGCCGAGGACAAGCGGAGGCCGTCGTCCTCCCCGAAGTCCGTCCGGGCCGAGCGCGTGCGCACAGGGCTGTCGTTTTTTTTGGGTTTTTTTTTTTTTTGCGGAGCGCCTGGCCTCCCTTGCCGGCCTCCGCTTCCCCCCGCGGAGGCCGTGACACGCGTGTGGCCTCCCGCAGATCCTGGCGGCGCTGGAGAAGGACGAGCAGGCCCGGCGGCAGCGTCTACGCAGCAAGCTGGAGCAGGTGGTGGACATCATGACCCTCAGCGGTTGAGGCCAGCCGGGCCTCCCCGCGGGAGGCCGCTTGTCCTCCGGCGACCCGTCCGCGGGGGACACACGGGGTGACGTGGCCTGGGGGACATCGGGGACGTCGCGGGGACCCACCGCCGCGCCCGGAACCCGCGGGGACAGGCACAGGCGACACCCTGCCCGCCGAGTGGAGGCCGCCGAGAGTGGAGGCCGGACTCCCCAAGACGCGGGGCGGGGTCTCCCCGACTCCCCTTCGCTGCGGCCACCAGGGGGAAAGTGTCACACACACGGGGGTGTCCCCAAGACCCCGGCCGGGAGGGACAGGGAACGACGGGACACAGGGGCCTCCACGCCCGCCGGGCCTCCCTCCACCGACCTCCGATTCACCGCGTGCTCTGCGCGACCCTCCCATGGAGGAGCCCCGGCGACACGCGGGCCGGTGACACTCGGTGGCACTTGTCACTCCTTCCTGAGAGAGAGGCCCTTGCAGGCGGACTCGACTGCTCTCAGCCTCCGGGCCGAGCCTCCGCAGAGAGCACAGCGGCGCGTCCTCGTTATTTATTCCCCGTCCCGCGTCTGTCCCTCCCGCTGTCCCCGTGCCACCCGGCTGTCACCTCCCTCCCGGCCCCGATGGCCCCAGTCCCCGCGGAGCGGCACGGCATCTAGGGACTCAATTTTTTATTTTTTATTTTTCTTAAGGGGGACAAAAAAAAAGAGAGAGTCCACCAGCCTCCACCGCTGGCCTCCCCGATGGCCCGGGTCCCCGGGACTCGCGGGTCACTGTGACCACCCGCGTCCCCCGCGAGAGAGACAGAGAGAGAACGGGGTTTTTTAGGAAGAAATCCGCGCGCTGTCGGGCGCGGCTGGCATCCCGGCACTCGGGGAGGCCGAGGAGGGAGGATCGCTCGCTCGAGGCCGGGAGTTGGAGGCCGAGCAAGAGCGAGGCTCCGTGTCTACGAAAAATAGAAAGAAATGAGCCGGGCGACTGAAAAAATATATACAGAGAGAGAAAACGAGCCGGGCGTGGAGGCGCACGCCTGTCGTCCCGGCTACTCGGGAGGGGAGGCCGAGGCGGGAGGATCGCTGGAGGCCAGGAGGTGGAGGCTGCTGTGAGCTAGAGGCTGGCGCCGCCGCACGCTCGCTCTAGCCCGGGCGACGGAGCGAGACTCGGACTCGGAAAAAGAAAAGGGAAAAAAAAAGAAATCGGTGCGTACACATATATATATGTATATATGGCGCTCGCCGCGAGTTCGAATCCCGGGTTTGGAAGTTGTGCAGTTTTTACCCCGAAGGAGAAAAAAACAAAATTTTTTTTTGACGACAATTTAAGACAATTCAGGCAGCGACGAGGTGAAAGCAATACCAAATGGCGGCCGGTTATATATATATGGCTCTCGCCGCGAGTTCGAATCCCGGGTTCGGAAGTTGTGCAGTCGTTCCCCTGAAGGAGAAAAAAACAAATTTTTTTTAACGACAATTTAAGACAATTCAGGCAGCGACGGGGTGGAAGCAATACCAAACAGCGGCTGGTATATACACATGGCTCTCGCCATGGGTTCGAATCCCGGGTTGGGAAGTTGTGCAGTCATTGCCCCGAAGGAGAAAAAAACAAAAATTTTTTTAACGACAATTTAAGACAGTTCAGGCAGCGGCGGGAGTGAAAACAATACCAAATGGCAGCCGGTGTATATGTGGCTCTCGCCGCAAGTTCGAATCCCGGGTTCAGAAGTTGTGCAGTCGTTCCCCTGAAGGAGAAAAAAACAAAATTTTTTAACGACAATTTAAGACAATTCAGGCAGCGGCGGGTATATATATATGGCGCTCACCGCGAGTTCGAATCCCCAATTCGGAAGTTGTGCAGTCGTTACCCTGAAGGAGAAAAAACACAATTTTTTTAAATGACAATTTAAGACAATTGAGGCAGTAGTAGGGTGAAAGCAATACCAAATGGCGGCCGGTATATATATATGGCTCTCGCCGCGGGGTTCGCAATCCCCGGTTCGGAATTGTCGCCTTACCCCAAAAAAGAAGCAAAAAAAAATTTTACAGACAATTTAAGACATTGCAGGCAGCGGCGGCGGGGGTGGTAGCAGATACAAACGGTGGCTGGTGGTACTATAGTATACATAATACATTACTAGTATATATGGCTCTCGCTCAGGAGTTACGAACCGCGGGGTTCGGATAAGTTGTGCAGTTGGTTACCCGCCGAAGGAGAAAGAAAAAAATAATTTTAATACAATTTTAGACATGAGTTGAGGCAGCGGTGGGAGGTGGGAGGCAATACCAAACGTGACCGGGGCAGTATTACAGGTATAGTATATACGTACTGGATAATATATTATGTATTGGTGGTGTCTTGCGCGAGTTCGAATCACTGGGTGGGGAAGTTGTCCCCACGTGTTAACCCCCAAGGGAGAAAAAAAAAGAATTTTTTTTTTAGATGACAATTAAACGAATCAGGCGGGTGGGAGCAAAACCAAACGGGGGACGGTCACGCCCCCCACCCCACCCCCCGGTGGGCTCTGGGTGTTGCTCGCGTTGAGAAACAGCTAGGTCCCGCAGGTGGATCGATCGATCTCCGCCCCCCAAAGAGCTTCCAGGTTCACGCGGGTTTGGGGGGTGGGTGGGGGCTCCGGCCGGACCCCGCACCCCCTTATTCCCCCGCTGCAGGACGTGCCGATGCCCGTGCGTTAGGCGTGGTAGCCGAGTTGATCGTTTTTGGTTTTGTACGAAAAAATAGCAAAAAAAAAACTGCAGAGGCGTTGAACAACTTAGGATCTCAGGCAACAGTACCCCCCGGCCCGCCAGGCCGCTTCCCGCTGCTGCGACCGCTTGCCCTTTTTTGTTAACGCGTTTTCTAAATGACGTGGTCCCTTGTCACGACAAGCACGCGACACCCCTCCCGCCCATTCCGGGCACCTCCCTCCCAATGTTCGCGCAGCGCCCCGCGCCCCCACCCCACCCCCGACTTCTGGAAAAGTCACTGTTTGTTTTTTTTTTGGATGGTACTAAAGACTCGCACCACCGCTGGGCTTTAAGGGACAGCTGAGAAGTGGGGTGGCCGCCACCCCAAAACCCCGCCAACACACCCCGCCATTCCTAAACGGCCCCTGCGCACGCATGCGCGTTGAGCCGGACTTGGAGACCGCGTAGACGCGGGACCCCGCCCACCGCGCCGGTGGGAGGGGCTCCGCGTTGCCATGGCAGCCGCTGACTCAGGGAGTTCTTGGTGGCCCCAGAGGGGGGTGACAGACGGGGGTGACACGGCGACAAAGCTCGAGGGGCGTGGGGGCGGGGCTGCCCTCAGTTGTCCCCTCCCCCCATGTCCCAATGTCCCTCCCCCCCGCTCCCCCCCCAAAAAATAGTCTTCCCTGGATGTCGCCTCTTCCATTTCTCTGGGTGGGGGGACCCCTTGGCCCCTTCTTCAGAATCCAACCCCCGCGTAGACGCGGCCGGCGGGGACCCCAGGAGGTGACTAAGCGATGCGGGAGGGTGGTGGTGGTGGCGCGTGTCCAACCGCAAGCACTTTAGCAGTCGCTGTTTACATACGACTCTGCCTCCTCCTCTTCCTCCTTGGGGCCGCGGGGTTGGGCCTCAGTTTCCCTGCTGCTCTGTCGCCTTGCAGTTTGCGCCGCTTTCCCTTCTCGCACGGCCCGCCAGGACACTCCGAAGAATCGACGCTGAGACCTTGAGCGCTGGGGCTGCCTGGCTGGCGGGTGGCAGCGGAGGGGACTGTTATTGGGGACGCCCCCCCGTCAGGGGACACGGCCGCTGCTGCTATTGCCACCTGCGACGTCCCCACCCCTGCCACTTGTGTGTGTGTGTGTGACCCGGTCTCAGGCGAGCTGGGGACGCTCAGCTCTCCCGCCCTGTCTTGCGGGGAGACCTGGCCTCTTCATATACCTCGAGTCTCCCCACGCGGCCTCCCCGTTTCCCACCCCCTGCAGTGACCCCTGGCACGAGGGGACCGGGGTGTCCCCAAGACCCCACACAACACCCCCCCTGACCCTCAAAGCGTCCTCAGACCTGCCAGTGACAACCTCCCCCAGGAGCCCGGCGTCCCCCTTTTCCAAAAAGTCCCCAACCCGCCGGCTCAGGTTGTTGGTGCTACACGAACTTCAATACCTAGATTTACGGGCAGAGACAGAAAGAGAGAGAAAAACCACAAAAAGATATTTTTAAGACGAAGCCCACGATGAGCTGTCCTTCGACGCCCTCCCTCCCTCTCCGGAATCCTGGTACCTGAAAAAATAAAAATAAAAAGAGTGACCCCCTATTGGACGGTCACAGCTTGGGGACACGTCCCCTGACCCCCCTCCCAGCCGCGGTGGCCCGGCCCGCAGATGTGTACAGAACACGGCTATTTCGTATTTTACTGTTTGGCAGATTTAGTACTTGTACATAAACACACATTAAGGAGAGATTAAACATTTTTGCTAAAGCTGGTGGCTCGGTGGCTTTTCTTGGGGTGGGGTGGGGGGTGACGACATGGTCCCCTCCCCAATTCTCTTTTTCCTGGCGGCGGTGGCTCGCTTCCTTAGAATCTTTGTGACACGATCAGCCCAGCCTCAATCACCGCCGCGCCCGGCCGGCTCTTCCCTTCCTAACTGGAAAAGAAAAAAAAAAAAAAACACTCAGAAGGGAATCTTTGTCTCACTAAAAATGGAATGAAACCATTCATAGCAGGTGGAGGCCGGGCGCGGAGGCTCACGCCTGTCAACCCAGCACTCTGGGAGGCCGAGGCGGGAGGCTCGCTCGAGGTCAGGAGTTGGAGGCCAGCCTGAGCAAGAGCGAGACCCCGTTTTTTCTTAAAAAAAATTAATTAGGAAGTAATTGGGTTGGCGGCTTAAAATTTTTTTTGGAAAAAACGAGCCGGGCGTGGTGGTGCACGCCTGTTGTCCCGGCTACTCGGGAGGGAGGCCGAGGCGGGAGGCTTGCTCGAGGCCAGGAGTTCCAGATCAGCCTGAGCAAAAGGAAGACCGTGTCTCTACTAAAATAAATAGAAATATTAGCCGGGCTTGATGGTGCGAATCCTAGTCCCAGCCTCTCCGGGGACCCCCGGAACCCCCACACACGCCGAGTGCAAACCCAGCAGGTTGGATTCTTGCAGATGGAGGCCGGCCTTGCAGCCCCCGCCGGGCAGGGGGGGGGCGGGGCCGGGGAGCCTCGCGGAGTTCGGGGTCCCAGCGCGCAAAAGGGCCAGGGGACCGGTTGCTGCGGCAACCGCCCGGAGGAGAATCTCCAGCCCAGTCGCTCAAGGTGGTGGTGGGTCAGCGGCGAGGGGAGGCCGGGAAGGGAGGCCGGGAGGGGGAGAGCTGTCCCGGCCCAGGGGCGGGGAGCGAGGAGGAGGGAAGGGACGGGACGGGCTGGGAGCCGGGCTCAGTCGGGCCACTGAGCGCTCACGGCGGGCCGGCTCCTTGCCGAGCGGGTGCCAACCTCCGAACGATGTGTTCAGCAGTGTGTCCCACACACAGGCGTGCACAGCGCCTGTGAACACGGCACGCACACACGTGGCACATGTGTGTGCAGCCCATAAACATAGCATGCACATAAGCATTCATTGTATGCATAAGATACATATGCAACACATGTGTGCAACCTGTAAACAGCATACACATAAACATGCATTGCATGCCTAAGATATGTATGCAACACATATATGCATAGCATGTACGCATGCAACACATATGTGCAACCTATAAACATGGCATACATATAGA